TCCTCCCCGCCAAAGGCCTGCAGGTTCTTCTGCGTTTTATACAGAAACATATACACTGAGTCAAGAGGCAAGCAAAGTTTTGATGAGTTAAGGCAAAGGCGAGACAAATGCAGAAGGTATCACCTGCACTGCAAAGGAATGAGGCAGTTCACGATTTACTGGATAGTATTAAATCTGCCTCCTGAATAAGGCAGAGGAGAACAACCCTTGGGCTCAGCCTGACTGGAACTTTTGGAGGAGTTCAGGAAGAAGACTGTTATAAAAACCCAACATGCTTCACAAAAAGAGATACTCTTTCTGTGATAAACTCAGAGATATATGGTATACAAAGAGTTATTGAAAGTATGTTAGGAAAGCATATGCTATAGTGTGGCTAAATGCAGGATAAGAAAAACCTTGGGGCTAAATCAACTAGATGTAGATTTCTTTCACTCTTTCATCAGTGTCTGTCTTTTATAAACATAATATCCTCATTATCTGTTTTTAATGTTGATGTTATATACTTCTGAAGTTTGTGTGTTGTCTTAATTTGGTTAAGGTGATTTCAAAATAACAAGATAAATAATAGCAATACATTCGTTTTCTAAGGACACAGCTTTCCATATAACCCAGACTTTATGATATACATCTCCCCAAAACGTTCTTTGTTGCAGGCTATCCAAAGGAAAACAGAAAATGCCTTGAGAAGCCAACAGCCCAATACCAGCAGAAAAGTGATGACCCGTAGAAATCCTAGCTTACAGAAAAGGTGTGGGAGCAGACCCATACTGCAAGTGTCCTCAGGGACCATGTGTCAGCTGTTCATAATAAAAGGCAAACTTGCCCCAGAGAACCTGAACGGACAAGGCAAACTAAGAGCTGGAGAAAAGCATAATAACCTGTGATTTTAAATTTGTGCAAATTGGTGCGGTTGGAAACTTCCAGATTTGCCCAGACTTTGTAGATGTCCAGCTTTAGGTCTAACCAGAATGCAGATGTGCGGGTTCCCAGTGCATTCACTGCGGGACACAGAGAAATGGTGTACAGCATCCACATGAGAGGCCTGACTCCTCCAGGGTATAGTGAACATTAAATAACAAAAAATACGTCAAAATTTATAGGAAAGGGAAAATAACTTGCCTTTCCTGCTGTGGCAAAATCAAATATGGACATTTTCATTTGATGTTATCACCATTCACGTTTTCTCATACTTAATGGGCTGTGATACCATGATATCATTCATTCAAAGAGAAAAATAAAAAAAGCATTTTGGATATTCAGTTTATAACAGCAGTAAAGGAACTGGTAAACAAAATAATCTCAATCACAAATATTCAATGTATGTTGCTTATATTTATTTGCATAAATAGAATTACCTCAATTTTGGTTAAGAGATCTTGCAGTTCCCCAGATTCATTCATTAGCAAAATTTTCTCAGCACCCTATTAGTAAGAAGAAGAAGAAACAAGTCAGCCAGTTTAGCATGAAAAAACAGAGATTATTAGAAGATTTAGTCTTCAAAATTTAAACAGGCTAAGGACAAATTTGAATCACATCAAGTATTTTGTAATTAGGTCAACCTTTAGGAAAGCTGGAAGGAGAGGAGAACCTAACCACAATTATGATAGAAGTGCCTGAGGGTCATTACCAGGTGTCATATTGCATTGCCTTTTTGTAACAGGTGACAGCTTGGAAATTCTGATTGTGTTCACTTTATTTTACAGGGTATGCTTCCTGACAGAATAAAAAATACGTCTAGTTACCACGTCAAAAAATACAATTATATAAATATACAACAGATCAGAGAATGTAGCAAAATGAGAGGAGGAAATTGTATTTCGAATATTCTGGCAGTTGAGCATTGAATTAAGACACAATATGCCTAATGTATAACACAAGCAGAAAAGGGGTAATGAAGACACTGTAACAACATTAAAGGCAGACACAACAATGAATAAAAATAATTTAGTTTGAAAACAGTAGGTCTCTGAGGGGATCTGAACCGAGGCAGTACTGAAGTGATTTTCCTTTTTCCTTTTGAAAGCAGAAGCTAAGAGATTATTGCAGACAAAATGAGAGTGACAAAGATGATGTAAAACTTTTTTTTCCCTTTTCTTCTAATTAGAGGGCCACAGTTGAATGCTTACATTCACTTATGTAACTGAATTAACTGAAAACTATAATTACCAAACACTTAAGGCACTTTTAATCAGTGGGTCACAAGAAGCCAACAAAAGGTGAGGAAACTGAGGCACAGATGGAGGGAGCTGCACAGCCCTTACTTGCTGCTGAGGGCAATTGTCCACATTTAGATCAGGTGGTGGGTTAAATTTAATCTTTGGGTTTCTTCTTGGCATGAGCCAGGAGGTGTGGTGGGCTGATGGTACACAACTGAGGTGCAGAGGGATGCTGGCACACAGTTGAGGTGCGGTGCGGTGCTGGTACCCTTCTCGGACCTGCCATTATTTTGAGGTGCCCACGGTCAGCTGCAGGGGCTCTCAGTCCCAGCTCTTCACCATCATTCTCTCTGTTACTGGGAGGTACAGGAAAAGCTGCTGGGGAGCGCAAGCAACACATACAGGCCAGCTATATATGTGCTAGTGTCCAATCATCATTCGCACCTCACTGGGGACTCCTGGGGCTACAGGTGTGTAGCCCAAAAGCCAACTAAGGGCCACCAAAATGTGGCAAAGGATATTGTATGACACTCTAGAAAGGCTAGTTTCCTTTATATGAAAAAAAAGCACTTTTGACTCTGATGATTTTAATTTCAGTTAAAAAAGCATAGTATTTTAGTGGATGTGAGTGCCACTTCCACAGTGAACGCTACTCTTTCAGTACTACACTTTCAAAGAGATTTTTTTTTAAAGAAGCATCTGCAAGGTAATTATTTGTAGTTAATTAGTCACAGCAGATGACAGGAGACTCAGATAAGCCAGCCTTACTTGTGCTGACTCTTCTATTGAAGTGTGTTATAGACCACGTGCACAGTGTGCCAGTTTCGACATATGCATTAGGGCCCTCTGTGTCCCCAGTAGAGCAGGTTTTAGCAGTCTGTCAGCCTATTTCATGCTTGCCCTCTAATCTTTCTCTGCTTTCAAACAGAACGGGCAATAAAGTGACTGGCACAACAAAGTGAGGCTGTGCCAAGGCAGCCCACGGAGTATTAGCTCAGGGCCTTAACACACTGCAGTGGCTTAAGACAAAGCTTGCGCTGCCCATCGAACACAGAGACACTAAGGACTTGCAGCTTTATTGATGCAATTGCAGCACTGCAAATTCCCTAATCTAGATGAGCCCCAATTTATTTTATTTAGGGAAGGATCTTTTCTCTGTGGAAGCAGCTGGGAAAAGCATTCCTGTGACTTCTGCTTGATCTTACAGTGAGGCCATACGATATCGCTGACTGGCTTTTGCAGCAGTATAATCGAAAGTCTGACAGGCTTCCCAGTATAGATTCATATTTAAAGGACTTACGTTTCAGATTACAATCAGTCAGCCAGCTGTGTTACTTTCAAAGTGGAAAGTCTCATTACTATGGCTTTAAAATTAAAAACCAAACGTCCAAATGGCTATCAATGTTTTTAAGTGTTTCAGCATGTCTTTTCTGATTAATGGCTGCCTCAAGTGAATTCAAATAAAAACACTTTGCAGAGGTTAACCTTCCCTTTGGATCTGTGAGTCTTAACACACAGTGTCTGTAATTAATAGAGTAATTAAAGCAGCTGCTAAATAAGTCCAATAGCTGCTTTCTGACCAGAAGGTAATGCATTTCTTTTCCTTCCTAGATTGTGTTCATCCCACAATTACCCACAAAGGGATGTGAAACATTAAAGAGTCTGTCCTTGCTAAGACTCACATAAGGAGCACGAGGGACAGTGGCCATAACATTTAGAGAAGCAGCAGGGAGAAGTGAGTTTTCAGTTTTTTTAATCAGTTAAAGTTTCAAAGCGCCAGCCAGTGAATTCTTTATCTACTAACTTCAATGGCTCTCTACCATGGTGGAGGATCCCAGGGGCTGCGGGCAAGTCTTTGCCCTTCTTTTTGGCAAGGAAATGCCACAGACTTGGCTAAATCACTCAGCAGATTTTCTACACCACTTCTATTCTTCAAAATATTTTCCCAGTTTTCTCTTGAGAGCATCCAGAAATTAACATAGTATTCCAGGTATGGTCCAACTAATTTCAGAAGTTACCCTTATTGAACCTGCCATCTTTGTTCACTGTGGCTTAGCAAGGAGACAGTCTGTATTTACTGCTGTCTTTGCCCAGAGCTCACACGATCTTCAGCCTACAACTCTACACCTCTTACAATAAGGTGCAGACACACATGGGGTATGATTAAATGCCTGGAAATCTGCCCATAAACTGAGAAAATTGACACTGCAGTACAGTACCAGCACCAGAAATGTTGGATTTGACATGCAAAGAACTGAAACATTGATGTGTAAAGAGCTCGCAGATTAATTGAACCCTGATGTTCCTGAAAACTGCAAAATGGAGGAAACAAGTGGCAAAATGCTAGGTGAATCGATGCAATAATTACATCATAGTTTTACTGCCACAGAGACATTCATATCCACCCCATCAAGTGAACACCAGAAGAACATGTTTACTCTAACAAAACGTGGAGGCTACTCTCTACTAATCCTGTACAGCCACTGGAAAGCAACAAAAAGGAAACTTAATTCTTGTGTAACAAAAAATATTGCACAGGTATTTTCTAAAAGTCAGTTATAGAAATAGCCTTATAATTCTTAAGAAATAATCATAACCAATGAGTCAAATAAAATAATTTTGCTGTAAATCTCATGCTGTTGTGGATTCATTACAGATGGAAAAACTAAATAGGAAACAGTTTCTTCAGGAAAAATAAATCATTAAATTCACATATTTGAAAAGGATTCAAGTAGATTTGTGTGGCAAATGAATACTGGAATTCAATCACGTATTTAATATGAAAAATAAACTAAATTTATTTTAAAACTATCATGCAATGAGCTAACATATTTACTAAGGATGACTGTATTTGCATTTTTTTAATGTGCATCCCTTTTCCAGCAGAGTGGGTCCTTGCATAACACAAACCTCCAACAATCCTGAGTGCCTTTGTAAAAGACTAAGTAAATGTCCTAATTTTTTTTCCGAGTGGCTTTCTGGTTTTTTGGAAGTCATTTTTTACTCTGCTTTGGTGTCCCAGCAGATGGCATAATTCCATTTCAGATGGAGACAGCCTCAGGTGAAAAGGAGGGATTAGATCAACTGGTAAAGAATATGCTGCAGAGAGAACCTGCAATTTCTTGTCAGACTGATATTTAGACAGTTTGTGTCAAGAAATACAATGATTCAACCCTGAAAAAATGAGAAGATTAAAAAACCTGCTGTACTGCAGCACGCAGGAGTTTGCATGACAGGAACTAAATATGGTTTTTCTATTGCTTCTACCCAAGTCACGGGTTTGTTTTGTTTCCCCTGTGCAGGCAGTGATAAATTCCACAGTGCTGTGCAGATTTATCCACACAGCCTGCAGTGCTCTAACAACCTTGTCCATGCTTCTGAACAGCTCGGATACCGTGCGCTCTATCAGATGCACATGCTGTGTTTGGCCACCTTTTTTACATTTATCTTATTAAAAACAATCTTGTCCCCTTTCAAAACTGTTCACATTTTAATTAGGGGGTGGGTTTTTTTCTCCCTATGACTAACAGAAAGGTGCCTGGCTCAATATAGATTCTCCTTTGTATTGCTATATGCAATCTCTGTCAGGGAGGGTTTGCCAGGAAATATTAAAAATTTTAAAAAGCAACACAGAAGAAGAGAGAGAGAATATTGAATGATTAATTTACTGACACACCAGGCTTCTGGATTTATGTATTACATTTGCACATCAGAATATAATTATCATAAAAGGCCTTATAGAAATGTCCAGTGTTACCAATGAGACCACATTCTGTAATTAGTTCTCAACCGTATTTTAATGAAACACAAGCCCAGCACAGGCTCCAGCCAACTTGCTGCATTCAGAGTCACTGATGCATTATCTTCTTAAGGTGCCACATCCACCAGGGACTGACACAGCTGGGGGGCAAATGCTTCGTTGCCAGACCCTGACAGGCTGGTTAAATACCTGCAACCTTCGCCATATGCAAACTGCCCTCCAACCCCCCCTTATTGCTCTTCCAAAATGAACAAATGCCAACCTCAGCGCAGAGCCACAAACATGATGAAGGGAATGGAGCATCTCCCTTATGAGGAAAGGCTGAGGGAGCTGGGTCTCTTTAGCCTGGAAAAGAGGAGACTGAGGGGTGACCTAATCAATGTTTATAAATATGTAAAGGGGGAGTGTCAGGAGGATGGAGCCAGGCTCTTCTCTGTGACATCCAGTGATAGGACAAGGGGCAATGGGTTCAAGCGGGAACATAGGAGGTTCCACTTGAATATGAGAAAAAACTTCTTCACGGTGAGGGTGACAGAGCACTGGAACAGGCTGCCCAGAGAGGTTGTGGAGTCTCCTTCTCTGGAGACATTCAAAGCCCGCCTGGATGCGTTCCTGTGTGATCTGATCTAGGTGTCCTGCTCCGGCAGGGGGATTGGACTAGATGATCCTTGGAGGTCCCTTCCAATCTCTAACATTCTGTGATTCTGTGATTCTGTGATTCTCTTATGAAGCCAAATTAAGACAGAGAAATAAAAACTTCTATAAAATAATGGGTTTTGTCATATTTACCCAAGAGAGTGTGCGACACATGTCCCTTGCCAGTGGTAATACCAGGTTCACCGTGCCTGTCCCTTCCCATGGCCCTGCCAGCCACAGTTCTCCCCTCAGCAGCCATGGCGGGCGGCTACCTGGGTTAGCTCTGCTCATGTCAAACTCGGTTTTCCCATCCCATCTCAACTAAAGTATATTAGAGAGTGATGCTGTAGCAACAGATCCAAGTTGCCCCCTCCAGTACGGTGATAAGTAGTGGATGGCAATGGAGAGCAGAAACCTTGTCTGTGGGTACAGGTGAGGGGCACACATGGTGGCAGAGCAAAGGGCTGCCACTGCCCCAGCTGGCCATGATGCTCCCCATGAGCAGAGCAGGCATCTCCTGGATGGCCCCCGCCCGAAAAGCAGATTCTCCACAAATAATATCACTGTTACATGTAATGACTTTAATACACTCCTGGAGCTAAAGTCTGCTCCATTTAACCACAGTGTGCTTCATCAAATTAATTTAAAAAAAAAAAAAAAAAAAAAAAAGAAGTAATAAAACATCCCCAAAGTCTGATTTTGTTCTGGTTTTTAACAGATTAATACTTTTTTTTTCTTGTGTTAAACAATGTGAAAGGAGCTGCCATGCTGTAGTAAATTCTTGCTTCATTTTTTTACCTACAAGTGGTAAAACATGCTGAATAACTGCCAGCAGGTAGCTGGACAGATAGATTTGTCTCTCCCACAGACAGCCAACTTCCTAACTCGCTTTCTTTCTGTACCTCTCCAAAATATTGCAACAATACCTAAATAATTTTAATGAGATTGTGTTGGTTGTTACACCATTGCTCCTCTGTTAAAGAACAAGTTCCCCATGATCTTGTTTAAAAAACAAAAGCAGCAGGGAAGTAATGAGCCATCCATCACCCCAAAATGACTGTAGCCGGGCTTCACCTAGGGCTGAGCAAATAATTCATTCAATCTGTTTCAGTATTTTAACTGATCACACATGGACTGAGTCTGTCATAACCCACCACTTTTTTTATTTTTAATGTGATAATTAGGTGAGCAAATCTTAGTCTGAATCCTGTTGTATTTTAGGCTCCTTTCGAACAAAGCGATTCTGTTCCTGGCTGGCAGGAGAACTCTCCGACCCAGGTTTTTGACAAAAGCATCCTTTACTAGGAAGTAAAATTTGCTCTCTGCTAATATTCTGCAGACAGGTAATTTTGCAGTTGCTGCAGTGGTCTGGATAGCCCTGTGCCAGCAAATGCGTTTGTTACAGTGCTCAGGGAAGCCTGCCTCGAGCAGAGCACGCAGGGAGCTAGGAAGGGAAGGGGGAGAAAAGGGGAGAAAGGGTATTAGAGTGTTTATACAGGCCCAATATCAATTACTCCCTGATTGTTGATTACTTTTCATATCCTCACTTAAATCTTTTGTGAAAGTGAAAGTGTTAAGCAATAAAAACATAATACCCAGCTGTGTAAAAATATAGTTTGCCTTCACAAATCACAGTCTCACTGTTGGTGCTAATTGCTAGTTCTTTACTGCTCGAGACAAATGCCTTCTCTGAGCTCTCAAGCTATTTTCTTCATGCCACTTTCCAGAATCTTTTTCTTTTAAACTCTGATTTCTCAGTTTCCAAGAAATACATTTCAAAAGCGGAGGCTGGCCTTTGTGAAAAGGTGATTTCAACTACCAACAGGCTTTTAGACCCAGAGTACAAATCTGAATCATAGTTTTCCATTTGGAGTTTATATCTTGCTACACGGCAGAGTTGTGCTTTTTTTCTCTCTCTTTTACTGATAGGATTTTCTAAAATTATTAACCAAATATGTACCTAAAACAATGTTCAGCTCTTTACAGATGCTTAATACAGACCATATCATATAAAATTTGATGCATATTTATGCCCCAAGCTGTTGGTTTCATATTCAACGCAGATATTACTAAATGACAGGTTTATGCTATATGTGTTTATCTTCCTGGGTCAATCACACATTCAGGCTCCCATGACAAAAAAAACATCAATTTATCTAGATTTTCATAGTTTCAGCTGCAAAGATTAGCTATTTTTAAAGAAACACTGGATAGCTTAGACTGTATCATTGCATCTTTTTCCCCTCCTGCTACCCTCTCCCCAGTTATCTTTTGCATCTTCAGATCAAACCTATCAGTGCGGATCTGTGCAGCAAAGATCTCTGTCTTTTTTTGATTGTTCCCATCATTCCAGCATTGCAAACAATTTTCTGAAAGCCCTGCTTCTCATTCATCAAGATTTTCATCTCTTCTTCCAGTCTGCAAAATAAAACACTACCAAGGCTCACGCTTTACTTACCCCAAGATAATGGCCATCGATAAACACAACAGGGAGTGAGGGAACTTCACAGACCCTCCTGCATCTTTCGTCTAGTTCTTTTCCATAATCACTGTTCAGAGCAATGTTTTTTTCTTCAAATTTAACTCTGTGGTTTTGAAAGATTTTTCTAACCAGTTCACATCTTTCAAAAGTGGTTCTCACTACACGAAGGCTGGTAGTATAAATTACTATGCGACCAAACTCTAGCACTGTTGATACCTGGGGAAAAAAAAAAAAAAAAAAAAAAGTTCCCATTACATTAAGGTGGTAATAGCTTACAAATATTGCATAATTTCATTAAAAATATTATTTAAGCAAAAAAAATACATCTAGAAAACACAGTTCAACATCCTACTTTTTTCTAATGTAAAGATGGAAAGGGAGGAATTAAGTTATCGCAATCATCAACTTAAGGCAATTTAAGCTGTTTATCTAAGTAAGGTGCAACTTTACTTTTTTTGGAAAGTTTTAGAGACGGTGAATTAAGTTGAACATTTTCAAGAAGCATATATTTTAGATCCTGGTGGACTTCCAAATGTAAAGAAATCATCACCATTTTGTTGGTGTTTGATTCTGTGATAACAATGACCCATGTTTGCACAAAACCAGTCTGGTAGTACCCAAAGTCTAAATTTGGTAGCTCAGGTGTTGTTGACAGGCTCCTTTAAGCAAGGACTAGAGCCTAAGCTGAGCTTTATCACATCCATGAGCCAACATTAACTTAGAATACTTTAGGTCTCTCAGTGATGAATTAGATTATGACTGCACAGGAGACAGATGTATCCCTAATTTTTGGTGTGGATCCAAGTCAAATTAGCATCCAACCAACAATAAAAAAGTACATTTTGTGTATATTCAGTGTTTGATTCAAAGCCCACTGCAGCTAGGGGAAGCAGTTTCCTTGTCTGTAAAAAGTAAAAAGGGATTAATTTGCCCAAGAGAGAGTGGTACATTTTTAACAAGGCTGAGAATCATTGCTCTAAACAAAGATATTATGTTCAGATAAATAGCTTAAATCTTAGGTTTTCAAAAGATGGTAAGACATTTCCGAGCTTTTTGAATTATCCATCATATTCAGCAAATCATATTTAACTCTTTCAGCAGTATCATAGGAGTAAATACAGAAGTTAGATAATAAAAAGTAGGGATACCTATAATGCATTGTAACAATCTACGGAAAATGAACCTTGATGGGTGAATAGTTAATTTTTGAACTATATCATGCAATAACTGCAAAGACACAGTTGTAAAATTAAGCAGATGCCATGTCAGACTTTGCACATAACAAAGTCATTATTTAATTTACTATGTAAATGCACAAAAAAAAAAAAAGTCATTACAAAAAGCATATTCTGCTTAGAAAGGTGTTTACAAGGTTCGACGTATGGTGAAGAGTTCTCAGGAAACACTTGCATTTCACAGGTCACCTATAGATCACTGGAAGTGCAATTGCAAACATATGTAATGTAATGGTTTTCCATCTCCCATCCCAGGAAGGAATCATGTTGTGACAGGTCAGTATTAATTTCTCTTTGAATGGATGTCGGAAATTCAATTTTAGGAACAAATGTTATCAAAAGTAGGCTATTTTTCTCCAGGTTGTTTTCTATGTTGAAAATCAGTTTTACTGTTACTGCAGCCTGCAGCATTGACTGTTCTCCAGAATATTGTTCACACATTCCAAGTGAGAGGATTAGCTCATCCTCAACTTAAAAGACAAGTATTCTACATAAACACTGACACAAATACTTTAGTAACCACACATGGGTTGCTGGAAGGAAGAGGAGGTCATCCTTTTCAGAAGTAACCAAAAGGAGTTCTTAAAATATTCCTTGAAAAGATAATTTCACATACTCATTGTTTTCTCCTCTTTGGAGTGAAAATAGATTTTGAAGTGCTAAACCATTCAACAGGCTGGAAATTCTTGTTCCTTTGTAGCTCTAATCTCTAATGCTGCTTGTTCCCAGACACCAGAGGCTGGCAGTGTAGATACAGAAAGTCATTATCTAGCAAAACATCAGGACTCTGGTGTCCCTGCAGCATACAAATAAGTAGCTGAAGAGACGGAAAAATGGAAAGTTGTAAAGTGATCTGGAAAGATATCAAGTGGAAGGTGTGTACCAAGAGTCACTTTTGCGTTTATTCCTTTATTTTTTCTTAATGTGGCAGTGAAGAAATACCCATTTGCCATGCAAGGAAGTATTAAGGGCATTGACTAAATACTTCTTTAGTGAAATTTTAGTAAACACCTTGTTTTCTGTGCTAAAAATGCCCATAACCCCTCCTTGGCAGGACTTTATCATACCAGGAAAATCCTCCCTGTCACCTGCCTGGAACCACACTGTCAAATAAAAATAGTCAAGGCAGTTAGAGAGGTTTACAGGATTTTTCTTAATGAGAGTCTATTCTAATTCTTATTTTGCTACCCATTTCAATGGCTACAGCCTATAATATTTAGTGACTAGAATATGCTCTTGAAGTAAGTCAGCAGAATAAAGTTTGACCACAGTGCTTTTCCTTTCTAGGTTGGAATTGTGGCGAAACCATAATAAATGGCAAGCAATGTAAGCAAACAAATAGAAAGATGTTTTAGAAAATGAACTTTTAAAATTTTATGCAACAAACTTCAAAAACTTTGCTTGAGCTCTGGAAGTTGGACAGATGAGCAAACCAAAAGATTTGGAGAAATTTATATTGACCAGTTTCTTGCACTTCCTGTAAGTGTGATTCTCATTGAAACCTGAAGCTTATGGAAATCATTTGGCCTGAGTTGGCAACGTTTGTGTCAGATTCAGAAAAGCCAATGCACATGGGCCAAGAGTGTGCTTTAGAGAAAGTGTCCATGGAGAAAGACTGCCAAGGGAGGGGTTTAAGGTTTCAGAGGGAAATAAAGTTGCTTTAGTAACAACCCTGTACATCATTTACAGTTCCGTTTAGCAGAACCATGCTACCATCTCCCAAAGGGTCCCAAGGCAGTATCTGTTTTACTGCATCAAGCTGAAGAACTTGCATTTTGCTTGGGAGCATCAAGTAGGCAGCAAGAGCAGTAGCATGACCTGCATCTCTTCACAGCACAGACACCAGCCCCAGTGACACAGGAGCAGCTGCCCTTTTTTTCTCAGTCTACAGAGAAAAAGTCACTGTTGCACCGGTTCAATCCTGTTCATGCTTGAACATGAGACCAAAAGACTTTTCTTATTTTGCACCTGAGTCAGTCTTTTCCCAGGCTTCTCTACCAGGTGGATCAGGGCTTTTGCAAATGAGGAGTTAGTTGCACTTTGGTGTACAACTGGTGGAAATCTATCCCTCTGCCATCCCACTGGCGTCTGTCTGACATGGCTGCAACCAAATGTAATCATCAACTGAGCAAGTCTTCTGCAAACACCATGAGGGATATTATCCTGTGAAGCTAAATACATGAGCTTAGCATCAAGAGAGACCACAGAACAGAGGAAGAAATTGCTGATGAAAAAAGACGGTTTAATAGAGCAAGCAGATGAGCAACAAAACAGATGGATGCAGGGTACTGAAAAAGGGCTGAAAAAACAGAAATAACCAAAAACAAATAATAAACCAAAAAACAAAATGCCAGGATACTGACAAAGGAAGAGTAGTACAAAATAAATGTAGAAATAAAAACATGAAAAATATGTCAAAAAACTAACAGTGAAACAAAACAGAGTAAATGATAAAACAGAGAGAAGGTGACTGATATATGACATCCTGAACTTTTTTAAAAGAAATCCTGGTAGCCAGTGTAAGTGTACAGCAACAAATATATTACAAAATATGTGAATCTCCAAGTTATTTCAATATTTTGGAGTATTTTTTCAAAAAGCTTTGTGCATCACTGGAGCTGCAAAAATATGAAATATTTGGGAATCATACTCCTAAAAATATGTGTTTCAGAATTTACTTTTTCTGTATAAGAGCTGCCATGACAATAGTAACAGGCTTCTCAGTAGCTCTGAAAATATAGTATTAGTCAGGTGTTTCTATGATGCTTCTGGAAACCGGTTAAATATGTACGCCGCAAAACTCCCATGGATGTCTCTTGAGTTCAGACCTTCCCCACTGCATCTTATCTCTGGCTTCTGGATCCAGCTGCAACTGAAGTAGCAACAAAAAGAGCCCTTGTTTCTCTGCAGGTCTCATGGCTGCCCTGGCCCTGAGCAGTCGCCCCAGCCTGAGCAGATATTATTCACACTCTTTGTGAGGGGAATTTATAAAATGAATTACTGAATTATATTATGAGATTATTTCTTCAGCATATTTGTCATTAATTGCTTTCCCAAGGTTATAGATTCTCTTTAATATTTTTTATGACTTTTTTACATCTGCCTTGCTGACTTTGAGTGGCTCTTTATCTTTGAATTAAAATTCTTAATGTGGATATTTTTGCAGCAAATCTTTGAACTGACCAAATTCAGAGCAGGGGAAATGGTGCAAACCAATGCTTTTCTACTTGTGGTGTAAGGACCACTGATAGACCTTGGGACATAAAGTGATTGCTTGTGAAACAGTGGTAGCATTTTGGTTTGAAGATCTCTGTTTGCAGACTGTGTCTGCAAGCAAGTAAACACACAGGCCCAGTAGTAAGAGGGATACTCACAATGTTAACCTCATTTTTATTTGGTTGCAGATGAAAACTATGGCAGTAACACTACAAAAGTAGCCATGGGATTAGTTTTTTTCCTTTTAATACTCTCTCTGGATAGAAGGCATAGACATTAATGTGCTTTAACCTCATTGGTGTGAAAGAATAGGGATTTACATTTATATCCATATATAATTTATTTCAGAGGTGACATCACACACAAATTTACACTTGGTTCTTTTAAAGTACAAAGTAAGAATTGCAAAAAAAAAAAAAAAAAAAAAAAAAAACACCAAACCATGAAACCCACTCTATGCTTTGCATTATATGCATTATATTAGCAACTGTATTCTAGCAAAAGCAGAATATTTTTCTGCTAAGATTAATGGTATAGTACTTTGTCAAAGCTGAAATGTTAACCTCTATCACATATGAGATTTTTAAACATTTTTACTATGTTAGGAAATAACATTCAACTAATGTTATTCGTGTGGTAGTGAATTGCTTCTGTGACCTAAATCAATGGCTGAAATGCCCTTCTGTGTCTCAGAATATCTTCTTTCAACATCTCTGAGTGTTCTACTGAAATATGCACCCCTTGTCTCTGTAATTAAATACTATC